AGTTTGTTGATGCAAAGGATATAAGACTTTATTATGTCTTTTTTAATGTTCTCTTTTTCAACCATCCTTTACTTTAATGTCTGGAAATATACTGTTAAAAGCAAATACTAATAATGTGCCGTGATTGTGAAAATGCTGTCCAGAAATCTACATTCGACTCCAGAATTTCTATAAAGCTCTCAGCTGGAGCATCTGAATCCAAATATAGGAGAAACTGATCTTTTTTTTTTTTTTTTTGGTTAGTAGTATAAACTACAGAACAAAAGCTGCTTCTGAAATGGAGAGGTCAAGAGAGCAAACTAAAACCACATCATAACCCACAGTTATTGATTTCTCCCACAGAAAAGCACACTGTAGAAACACATCTGGGGACGCTGCTGTGTATTTTCACTGTACTTTTGTTTTGCACCAGATCTGGCCTTTGTACCTTTCAGACCACACAGAATGCATTTTAAAGAAGCGTCTTTCTGCTTGTTTGTGCCTTGTTCAAACACAAACACGCACGCAGTGCAAGAAAGCTGCAGATCCTGAAACAATGCGACGTGTGTTAGCCATCAGACAGCTCGTGAGAACCATCCGCAAAGCGATGCTTGAATTCAGGATGTGCCAGCGCCTGTGTTGGAGTTTGTGGGAGAGAGAGAGTCTGTGCGAGCTATTATCCTAATGTGAGCGTCCTCCCTGCTCGTCTTTGCTTCTCCATCAAGGCCAACAGATACAGCTGGCTTGTGTTCGGCTTAAACGGAGGACAAAACTGTTTGGAGTGACCCAGAACATCTAAACGAGTTCGTTCATTCATCCAGTGGCAGCACAGAAAGCAGGTCGCTTTTCAAAAAAATAACCGGCCTGTGTGCAGAAAGACCTGGGCAAAGATGCTCAAGATCCGTTTTGTCAAGAAAAATCCTCAGAAGTGAAGAATGTTGTGCAAAATATTTCATAACTGCTTTTTATTCGACTGATATCACAAGTGTTTGATTGCACTTCAGCTATGCAGACTCTTAAAGGAGCCAAATAGTTGTCAGTTTTTTATTTTATTTTACTCTGCACTTTATTATTCTTGTCTCTCATTCTGTTACTCCTCATGCAGGCAAATGTCCACCTTGAGTGTTAATCTAATCTACAACAACTAAACCCCCCCCCCCCACACACACACAGCTCTGTGGCAGTCATTTATTGCTAACGTAGGCTAAAATAAAACTTCTTCACTACACGCAAGTGTTCCTCAACTGGCAACCATGACCATATATATGGAGTACGAGTTGTCGTTTAGTCTGCCATCATGTTTGAGAGACAACATAATAGTGTGAATGTTTATGAAGCATTCACACTATTGTGATCCGTTTATCTTCCATATGTTTTTCAGCATCTTTCTCATTCCACACTTTTTGTGCCATTTCAACAAATCATGTATCAAAACGTTCAGTGATTTCAGGACAATCCTGAAATGACTTTTGGTATTGGTGCAACTTTAGCTTTTACACATATTTAGCTTTTTTCTGCCACTTTATTCCTCATAGGAAATGAGTTGAGTTCATTTTCCATCCTTCAGATCTTTAGATGTGTTTACAACCTTTTACTGCTCCTTTCACATTTTGTTCTGCTTCAGCTTCCTTGTGCAAATCTAAACTTTATTTTCAGCCAACTCAACTGTTTTGTGCTCCTTTCAGCTTATTTAGGCAAGTTTCAACTATTTCTACTACCATTTAAATGTTCTTATGCTATTTTTTTTAGCTTTTTAGCTAATTCCACATTTTTTGCTCCGATTTCAACTTTTTTCAGCCTAATTCTGCAAAAATGTGCTCTTTCCACTTCCTTTGGCTAATTTAAGCTTCTTTCTTTTTTTTCAGCTGTTTTTGCTTTTTGCAAATTTCAGAAATTTTTCACTTTGTTGAGCTCCATTCTGCAAACGTGTTCTTTCCGCTTTCTTCTGCTAATTTAAGTTCGTTCTACATTTTCAGCTACCATTTTGTTTGGCTAATTTCAGATAAATTCAAGTTTTTCATGGTAATTTCTGCTTTCAGCTCAAATAAACTATTTCTGCCAATTTCAGTTTGCTATACTTTCAGATGATTTCTGCTAGTTTCTGCTTTTTCAGCTACTATTTAGTTGTTTTTGTGCTAAATTGAGCTTTTTCACCTAATTCCACATTTTTCAGCTCCTTCCACTTCCTTCTGATTGTTTAAGCTTCTTTCTGCCTTTGCAGCTATTTATTTGCTAATTTCAGCCTTTTTATTTTTAGCTAATTTCCCAATTTTTGTGCTAATTTCTGCTTATTTAAACCAAATTCAGCAAATGTGCATCCTTTCTGCTTTCTTCTGCTTGTTCTTCCATTTCAGCATGTTTTTAGCTGTTTATTTAGCAAGTTCTTCAGCAACAAGCATTTTCACAGGAAATGCAATTTTTCTAGTTGTTAATTAACTCTTTATAAATTAGTGAAAATGAAGCAAAACAAAGTTTTATTGGAGCTTCATTCAGTTTAATTGGATATTTAGGCCTATGCTGGTTGAGGGACACCCTGAAGTTTTTTCTTTAAACTGGAGGGGTTTCAGTGGAGTGGCAGCCCCAGCTTCAAGGAGCTCCCACTGAGACGCCCACAGTCCTGGAGCCCCAGGCATGTGTCGAGTCTTACCAAAGGCAAATTACTAGCCAAGTTCGATGTGCTGTATCAGTACAGACACACATGGTGTGGTTAAAATTCTGAAGTGTGGCCTGCTTAATGTGTGACCGCATAAAGGAGGCATGCAAATGAGGAGTTCCAGTGTGCCACATGGATGAATTGTTCACTTAATGACCAACTGCGGCGCCACGATTAGTTACGCCGTCTCTGTGGTAACGCCCCACGCGTCCTCTGTTGTGCTCCTTTGTGTCCAGTCCACACCGGCTTCTGTTTGACTGATGATGGAGCAAACACACCAAAGTTGGTTCAACTCACTATATTTCTTTTCCTTCTTCTTTTCTCATTTTACTTTGGAGTTGCTTTAAAAATGAAAACAAGAACTCATATTGTCTGCATTCTGATTGGCACCTTTTTTTTAATATTCATGAGAATATGCAAAGAAAGGGAGGTCTCGTTCAGGCAGTGGGTGAGTCATGTGACCCTGGGGATGAGGTGGTGGGGGTCTATCCCCACCTGCCTCAGAGAGCTGTGACACAAAGCTACTCTTAGCATAATGTTGGCAGATTGATGGGCTTTTTCTTTTCTTTTCACAAAGTAAAACAAACCTAATCCCACACTTTAAAGATTGTACCATTTAGGTTCTTAAAAACTCATCCAAGGACACAATTATAGTTTAATTGAGTTAGTTATTATTTTAAATAGACCTAAAAACAAAGAAAACAAAAAAATCCATTCATCAAATCTCTTCCTAGGCAGATACATTTATATACAGATGATTCAATTGCTCCTGCAAAACAAAAACAAGAAAACATTTGAGCTTTAATTCACCCATACAACCTCACGGATCTTCTAGGGTGTGCTTCTACCACACATGATTTTTTATTCTTGATGCAAGACACCAAAATGAATACAAAAATAATAATTATATGTCTGCACATGCATATGTGCATGAATGCATGCGACTACTCCCAAGTCAAGAGTTAATTCCTGATAGAAATGTATGAAAAAGGCCAGTTTCCAGCCGCCCGGCCACTCTTTCTGTGTGTAACAGCACGGTTCCCTCTAATTGGTAAATACTTCATAAACTGGATGCGGATTATATAAAAGCCCGTTATCACAGGGTACATGTTTGGCTTTAACAAAGAACAAACATTAGCTGGAACAAGAGTCGCTTATAATAAAATTATAAGAGGTCAAACAGCAAGAGTTGTCATTTTTAAACACACAGATTAATAGTTCTTTGAAAAACAAAGAAAAATCAAATACAGTTCATATGAAACTTGCAAAAATGTCCACAGCAAAGAAATGACTTTCTGTTTGTGCCATCATTCATCTTCTGTAAATGTGTTTCTTTTTTCATTCTGCAAAACAATTACATCAAGTCTAACAGCTTCTTCTCTGTTGCCACAAACCTGATCAACCAGAAACAAGAAAATTCCTAAAAAAAAAAAGGATATCTGACAAGGCCACTAGTCAACGAGAACATCCTAACATCCCTTACGCTGTTCTCCTGTTACTGAGGTTTAATACGAAACCACAAGAACTGCTTTTTTGTCTCTTTGTTCAAAATATAAATCAAACAGCATCAGTGCAGTGCAAACCAAATCAAAGCTGTGCAATATAGCCTACTGCTATAATAAATCATACATCCTACCAAAAAGACGCGACTTCAAAATCAGACGTCAGTGATGAAAACAATAAATGATTACAAATGAGTCAGAACATCAAAGATGTGGTTAAAAATGCATGAGCATGCTGCACAACACATTCCCCTGCAAGATGAAAACAAAGGAATTATCAGACAGCACTGTCTGCTTTAATTTTCTAATGCGGCCCCCTCAACCCCCACCACCACTGCAATATTTCTGCGGCTTCATATGGGGGGGGGGGGGGGGGGAGAAGCAGAAATGTGGGGTGTGTCAGAGCCTCACAGGGGCTCATCTGGCCATCTGCCACCCCAATCCAGCCAGCCTGAGCCTAATTCTCAGCCCAGTCCAGCCCAGCAGGCCCGCTGTCTCATCCCCTCAAAGGGGGTTCCTGCAGAGGTGGTGGTGGTGGTGGGGGGGGGGGGGGGGGGACAGTGAATACAAAGGCAGGGAGGGGATGGGGAGCGCCACCTTAGGGCCCTTTGACCTGGTTCCTGGCCCGCCAGGGCAGACGGCCCAGACAGACAGCATCGTGTTTACTCCCCACCGCCTCCTCCGTCTGTCTTTTATCAGCCACATAGACCCAAGGGGCTGATGGTGAGACAGTGGGGGAGGGGGAATGGTGGTGGGGGGGTGGGGACAGAAAAACAGGAGGGTGCTTTGGCAAATGAGCACAATGAAGAGACTGACACCAACCACCCTGACCTCCAACCCCTTTTCCCTCTCCTCCTCCGTTTATCTTTGAGTTCAGATCTCTGCTTCCCACCACCCACGCCCCCACCCCCATGATTTTTTTAATGTTTTTATTCCTCAGCAGCTACAGCTGGTGGAGCTCCCAGCTTGTGTGTGGCTGAGGACGCCCCTACTGGTCAAATAGAAGCGAATGTTCAAATCCATCACACGCAGCTCTGATCATCCTACTGGTCTGAACGTTTACCTCCAGCAGCATCCCTTTACGCAGGCAAGACGTTCTGTAATGTTCACAATGAGACTTGGGGCATCAGAAAAAAAAAAAGGGGGGGTAGTCTCCTCTTCCTTCTGTGGGAACTAGGCAGTTGTGGTGAGCTTTTGGATGGTCCGGTTGTAGTATTGGGTGGTGAGAGCCTCCAGGGGGCTCCAGCGGTGTGCGTGCAGCTCGATGACCTCCATGAGCAGAGAGCGGGTCAACTGGGACTCGGCTGGACACAACATCTTGTCTCTGACAGCTGCTAAAAGCTCCATCATCATCTCGGGAAGCTGCTCCTCCAGGAGACCCCCTGCGCTTTGCAACTACAGACAACAAGAACAAAAAACGATGAAAAAAACATAAGTTGCATTTATTTAATGGTCAAAACAGCTTCAATCAATCAATCAATCAATCAATCAATCAATCAATCAATCAATACATACATACATACATACATACATACATCATACATATACACATACACACATCATACATACACACATCATCCATCCATCCATCCATCCATCCATCCATCCATCCATCCATCCATCCATCCATCCATCCATCCATCCATCCATGAATGAAGCGAATGTGCAAAGGAGGACTCACTGTTGCACTTTTGTTTTTAGAAATTTAAAGCATCAGTCAAAAATGTAATGAATATGGAAAAAATGTGTATAAGTTGCTTCTGCGTGTGTCGTAGGACTGACTAATGTATGCAAAAAAAAAAACCCCTGCGACTTATACGTCAGAAAACACGGTATGTGTCCTTTAAGCGGTGCCAGAGTCACCGTCTGGCACCTTGTTATTGTGGATCCTCTCAGACAGCACACATTCACACACCCTCTGGGCATGGAGATGTGTTTGTAACTTCTAGGAACTGTTTGTAATTCAGAGCTCAAACTACCTTTGCTCTTTCTGTGCTGATACCCCAAGGCCTTCCTTCCTCTCTGCTGCTGAGGCTGAAATCCAGTTTATTTTAAGTTGTTGCTTCCTGTGAATGTGCTTCTACAGGTGATAACCATTTGTTTTAGTGAGTTAGGTAGGGTACTTAAAGCACACTCACTCCTATACTATGATGAAAAATAAACATTTAGAAAAAATACCTGTCATGCTGAAATATACAAAACACAAACAATCTAATTTACCTTCTGTTTATATCCTGTTTTTAACTACTTGAACAGTGTTTTATGAAGAGTTTTGTCTTTTTAAGGACATTTTAGCAAAGTCATAGCATTGCTCAAAGGGTTAAGACCTTTAAGTTGTGTGTGTACGTTTGTGTGTGGTCTGTACCTCCATGGAGCAACAAAGGACTGCGTCTTCTTTGACATCTGTTGACTCGAGCAGCTACAAGGAAAAACAACAAACACTTGATGACTATACAAGGAGAGCAAGAGGCCACACAAACTAAAAGTCAACCGGAAAAATCTAAATGTAGCAACGTGTAGCGGCACGACCGAGGAAAGCCGAGTGAGTAAACACAACCAAAAATGCAAGAGGACACAGTATAAATACACTACAAGTATGGTTGGATTTAGACCAAATGGGAAATGTTTGAGATCATTAATCACCTCACAAGAGAAGAGAAAGAAGACCTGATCTCAGCTGTAAACATTTATATGCATTAACATTTTAAGTCTTAAAAACAACAGAGCATCCTTTCAGGCTGACGAACCGGCTCCATCAAGGCTCGCTTTATGTGCGCTGCACATAAACACGTGTGCGCACAGACGCACTGTAAACACACTGTAGCTAAAGTCAAACAGTAGAGCCGGTAAACACATGCGCTGGCCTCCCCCCACCCCAACTCTGGCACCAAACATATACAACGAGCAATCAGAAACAACACAGAATGTGACAGTGACCAGGGGAGGAGAGATTACTATTGCCAACTATGAACCTGTAAATTACTGCAGAAATTAAAGCGACTAAATTGTTGTTTTTTATATAATCCAACACTCCTCTGTTCACAAAGAGCTGCTTTGAAAAACAAGAATGTGCTGAAAATTAGAAATATTGAGAAAAACGGCTGGTTCAAATAATTTTGTTTACAGAAAAATAAACAAAATCAACAAGTAAATATGTGTGCAATCAACATTAGATGAATGAAGGGATTTATTTTAGTAATTTTACAGTCAAATGATAAATCCTCAGAATGAGATCACAACTTTGCAGTTCAATTTCACTAATGCTCTAAAAGCTTAAAATTCACAGCAACGTCTCTAAACTCGTTGCGCATCGTCAGCTCAACTCCAAATTTCAAATAGAAAAAACAAAACTAGTTCACAAAGGCATAAAGAAAGTTATAAAACACAAACAGATGATCTATAATACTGTATTTTCCAGCATATAAGTCGCACCTTTTGGCATAAATTTGCAAGTCCTGTGATTTATACACCAAAGCGACTAATATACGTTTCCCCCCCATATTTATAACTCAATTTTTCACTGAGATCTGATGATTTCATTCATTCTGACATGGAAAGTCTTAACCACTACCATTTTCAGCCGCTAGAGGGCCCTCAAGTAATATGGCAAGCCAAGTGTCTCATTAATAGGTAAAAGTGGCTATTAATGAGGCACCTGGCTTGCCATACCAAGCCACCTTCGCCTCACTCCAAAACTCCTGGAGCAAACGTCAAATCAGCTGCATTTCGCTGCGCCGCCCACGAGAAGAGCAGCTGATTTGACCATTAAAGTGCATTTATTAAGGAACAGTTCAACTGAGACACAACTTTGCTATATTTCGAGCAAACAGATAATTGTTTTAAGTGTTAATCTTGTTAAATTATTGTTAAAGTCCTCCTGTGCACACTCCCGCGGCTGCCATTTTGGCAGCCAACCGATTTTTGGCACAACACCAGCCCACGGGTGGTCAGCGGTGACGCATAATAGATGCGACTTATACAGCAAAGCAACTTACTTATGTTTTGTCCATTTGATTAGACATTTTGGACTGATGCGACTTATACACCGGAGCGACTTGTATGGCGGAAAATACGGCAGGTGGAAATATAAACAGTTCCACTATTAAGGATGACTGCATGTTTTCTACGCAAGTACAAAACATCAAAAACAAAATGTTTATTACAGATTCTCAAATGATTCATAAAAAAGGTATACCTGTAAGTATTGCACTAAAGGATTGTTTTATGCAATCGGAAGTTCATCAACTGAACTAATGTAGTTTGACAGGAAAAGGCAAACATACATTATACAAAGCAAACATAAAAAAGTTCAACTCTTCCTAGAAAAGCGTGAGTATCTGACTGGGTTGGAGGGTCTGGATTCAGTCTGAGCTGGTCTCTTGTTTCTACTCTGAGCTTGGTGGGATTTCACCTCTCATTCAGTCACACAGACGTCAGCTCCTCAGTATGCTGAGACAGGCGTGGTGACAGAGTGGCTATTTGATGTGGGAACTCGAGTCTTGGCGTTTCCAGAGAAAGAAAACTATCTGACGAGCTGAATTAGCTTATAATGAGCTCCTCAGGGAGCTGAGGAAGAAGTTTTGTTCGATGCTTTTAAAATGGACCGATCTATGTCATCGACGCTGAGGTAGCCTTTTCTTTTCTGATGTTGCCTCACAGCGTACATCCACCGCTTTGCATACCTTTTGTTTTTGTAGAAAATAAATGCCTGCAGAAGTAATGGCTTCTATGCATATAGAGAAGCACATTGCTGCATTGGTGAATTTCAGCACCTCTTGTGGTTTTAACAGCTCAGTGAAACTTAATGTTGGAGTCATTTTAAAGTTCTACTATTGTTATATTGCTAATTGACTATTCAAATGCATTTACTTCAGCTCATGTTGAGATCTACTATCATGTAGTTAGTAATTTAAATGTAAATAGTCTAGCAACATATTACTCAAAGTTGAGATTCAATTAACCTTCTTACCAGCTGTTGCATATCAACAACAGGTGTCACTTCAGGGTTAGCTTCAGTTGCAGCTACATTTTTTATAATCTCATTATTTCTATTGCATTAGCTCAGACTACTAACCAAATAAAACAACAACCGGAGAAAAATCTATCTATAAAGATCTATCTCTAAACATCTAGCGTACTTGCCATACACGTTGCACCGCCATATAAGTCGCATCAGTCCAAATACGTCTAATAAAGTTGAAAAAAAAAACATAAATAAGTCGATTTGCCATATAAGTCGCATCTATTATGCATCACTGCTGATGAGTCGCGTTTGTCATGTGTCACTGCTGACCACCCGGAAACGTGGGCTGGTGTTGAGCCAAAATTCGACTGGCTCCCAAATGGTGGCTGCGGGAGCATGCACGGAAGGACTTTAACAATAATTTAACAAGATAAGCACCTTAAAAAAATTGGTTGCTTAACATTATAGTAAAGGTGTGTCTCACTTGAACTTTTCCTTAATAAATGCACTTTAATGGTCTAATCAGGTGTATTTCGCCTGGATGGCACTGATTTTATGTTTGCTCCAGGAGTTCCGGAGCAAGAAGAAGGTGGCTTCTATGGCAAGCCAAGTGTTTCATTAACAGCCACTTTTACCTATTAATGAGACACTTGGCTTGCCATACCAGTCAAGGGTCCGCTAGTGTCTGAAAATTGTAGTGTTCAATATTTTCCATGTCAGAATGAATGAAATCATCAGATCTCTGCCAAAAATTGTGTTATAAATATGGGGAAAAAACCCCAAAAACAAAGACGTCGCTTCGCTGTATAAGTCGAAGGCATGCTGATTTATTAATAAAACTGCAACATATACAGCGAAAATTACAGTAGCAGCTGGTCTTTGTCCAGGATTTTAAGGCTGAGCCGAGTAGATGTTTGATGTACTGGATTATTTATTTGTTTGGTGCCATATCTACAAGCCCTTTACATTAAATAATGATTTTTGTTTAAAAATATAATATTAATTTTGAAAATTACATTTTAAACGGTGAGCCCCTTTTTAACATAAAATAAAATGTGAAAAGTATGAAGTAATTTAAATAAATTTATCTCATTTTATTGCACTCCCCACCCCCAAAACACACAAAATGATATAGCAACCAATATGTTTTGCTTTAAAAAGTGTTTTAATGCTTTAAAACTTGATTAAATAATTTATGTTATTGTGTTGACTGTCCCTCTTGTTATTCTGATTAATATCACTTTAAATACACACTCATTTTTTTATTACATGATCCTCAGGACATAGCAGTGATTTTTGGAGAGAAAACCTTCTACTGTACAATAAGCAAATAAAATATTTTTCAATTTACACCTTTTCAGCCTATTAGAATATTTCATTGATGTTAAATCTGTATAGCTAGACTAATGAAAAGCCCTTTCACTGTTGAGCCATGTTTCCCTACAGCTATAAACAGTTATGACTTCATGAGTTTTTTTTTATAAATAAAATTATTTTGATTAAAGAGAAAATTCACACCATCCTTCCTACTATTGCCCCTGGTTTCCTGTCAAATGAGGCAGCTTTAGAAATATCATTAGAACCTGATATATATTTGGACGGTTTTTGTCCTGTTGAGCTCTCTAAATTGTCAAAAATAATAGTTTTATCCAAACCATCAACATATCTGCAAGATCCCATCCCAACCAGACTGTTTAAAGAGGTATTTACCCTAATTAATATACCCATTTTGTTCTGCATTTTTGTTCTGCTTTGTCTCTATTGAATGATTAGGAGCCACAACACTTTAAGGTTGCTGTAATTAAACCTTTAAATAAGAAACCTGACCTTGATTTTGGATTTCTGGCCAAATAATAGACCTATATCTAATCTCACATTCATCTAAAAATATTGATAAAATGGTTGCAAATCAATTGTGTGAACATCTGAACATAAATAATCTATTTAAGTTTCAGTCAGGGTTTAGAGCTCATCATAGCACAGAAACAGCACTGGTGAAAGTTACTAATGGTATTTACATGGCCTCAGACAATGGACTTGTGTCTGCACTGGTCCTGTTGGACCTCAGTGTGGCGGACCTCAGTGTGGCATTTGATACAGTTGATCAAAATATTCTACTAAAGAGGCTTGAATATTGAATATTCAAAAAAAAAAAAAACCTGCAGTATTACTTTTTATAATTGTTTATTGTTGTTGCTGTTGTCCATTGTTGTCATCTTTCTTTGTTGAAATCAGGTCTCTCTTGTAAATGAGTCCTTGAGGCTCAATGGGATTTACCTGTCTAAATAAAGGTTGAATGAATGAATGAATGAATGAATATGATACTGGGATTAGAGAAATGGCTCCAAAATGGATTAAATCATTTAAATTATAGATTATATTTTGTAAATGTAAATAATGCATCATTTTTATACACCAAAGTTTGTTATAGAGTTCCTCAGGGTTAAGTTCTTGCACCAATATTCTTTACTTTATATTTGCTTTATATATGGTAGTTATTAAACAGCATGCGATAAATGTTTATTGTTATGCTGATGATACTCAGCTGTATTTGTCCAAGAAATCTAATAATTTCAATCAATTACTTAAATTACAAGCATGCCTTAAAAACATAAAAACCTGGATGACCCTTAATGTTCTGTTTTTAAACTCAGACAAGACAGAGATTGTGGTTTTTGAAACTGAGCATTTTAGGAATAAACTTTGCAGTCTTTCACATACTCTAGATGGCATTACTTTGGCCTCCAGTTTTAATGTAAATAACTTTGGTGTTATTTTTGATCAGGATATGTCTTTTGACCCCCACATTAAAAAAGGTTACCAGGACTGCTTTCCTACAAATGCATAATACCTCTAAGATTAGAAACATATTGTCCAAAAATGATGCAGAAAAACTGGTCCATGCATTTGTCACATCTAGGCTGGACTATTGCAGATGTTTACTATCTGGTTGTCTAAAAAATATTTAAAAACTATCTTGATGCATGTTCAATAATACAGGTAAATAAATCCAACAAGGTTGAGTCAAGTCCTCTGGACGGATTTTTCAAACAATTTGTCCAGAGGACTTGACTCAACCTTGTTGGATTCTTTAAAAAGTCTTAAGTTGATACAAAATGCTGCTGCCAGAGTTTTAATGACAGTTGGTAGGAGAGATCATATCTCTCCAGTTTTAGCTTCTCTTCAGTGGCTCCCTGTCAAATTCAGAATAGAATTCAAAATTTTACTTCTAACCTACAAAGCTCTCAACAACCTAGCTACATCTTATATTACAGATATTATTGTTCCATACATTCTTAACAGATCACTTCACTCTCAGACTGCAGGTTTACTTGTAGTTCCTACAGTTTCCAAAGAAGAGTGGGAGGCAGAGCTTTCATTTATCAGACTCCTTTTTTTGTGGAACCAACTTCCAGTTTGTCTGCGATGCTGACACCTTGTCTACTACTAAGATTAGGCTTAATGTATGAATATTTTTGTACAGTGCCCTGAGACAACTTCTGTTGGGACTTGGTGCTATATAAATAAACTTAATTGAATCAAATGGTCAAGCCTTTTTGGTCTAGTTGATGCTCCACTATCAATACAAGCTTTCAAAATTATTATTATTATTTTTATGGTACCCCACCCCCCAATAAACTATCTGCAAACCAAGAAAACAAGCAGTAAAATAATTTGTGCTTCACTAATTTTAATAATCTGACTCTAAGCAATTGAAAAATGGAAGTCTTTCAAGAAAACCCAGCTGAAATAGCTTTAATTAAACTAATTATTCAAAGTACCTGTAACGATTCTTTAACACTATTGTACAACAGTTTGCAAACAGTGTTAACATGTTTATTTGGTGAGACAGTTGTCATCCAGCATTCTCATTAACTTCCACAGCCTTTATTCCACTCAATTAGAACAAGGTAAAGAATACAGGCAGCAAATGGATTGAGTTAAGACTTAATCTGTCGTTCACAGCTTACCAGATAACTTCAGTGATGCACATTCTAATTTATTTTCACAATAAATGCAGCTAAAGATTGTACATTTGATTGTTTTTCAATGGGGGACAAAAATAACTGTTGTGTGAGACAGCTCTACAATGAGAAAACTGCGAGACAAGAAATTAATTACTGAATTTACAACTCATAAAATGCCTCTCTATAAATACATCTGCCATTTAAATGCAAACATGCCAAGTATGTATGGCCATATTAGTTAATTTAAAACTTTCTTTTAGGAAAATACTTGCAGGGTGCTGAGAAGTGTTTTATCCTGAAAGCTCATAAAAAGGCTTTCTGTCTTACATGTGTGTTGACATTAAAGGTGTATTTATGGAAATAATGAAAAAAAAAAAAAACACCAGTAGAATTCTTCTGATCTGATCCTAAAAGCTTATTCCTATATTTGCTGTGATTATTTTTTGCAAATAAGTAAGAATCAGTGGTGGCTGGTCAATAGAGGGTGCTAGGGCGCCGCCCCACCATTCACACCACTCACTATATTACCTTGAAGACATAAAAAAAAGAAATAAAAATGAAATAATAAAATAAAACATATTTTGAAATATAAGTATATAATTTTTTTAGTTGTGCAAGATAAATATTTTATAGTTAATGATGAGTAAAGTTGTTTCTTTCAAAAACGTTGTCTCTAATTGATGACATATTTCCACCCTGGGGGCGCAAGAATCTTTGCCCATAGACTCTCGTTAAAAGTTGTACATGCACAGTTATCTCCTCTTCTTTACAAGACATAAAACTATTCTGGGCACAACTTTCCTGCGCCCAGAGTACCGGCGCACAGTACGGATCGTGCTTCTGGTCCCGGAACACATTATTATTTTTTTGGTCCCGGAACAGATCGTGCAGTGACATTCACAACCAGGCTATGTTGCAGGTGGGCTTTAAGCCATTGAAAGCCCTTTATCTAATGCCTATGTTGCCATTTCTGACTGATATGTCTCTCAACTTTTAGATGTCTGTTTGTGGAAAAACCTTCAGCTGACTGTGTACTTTAAAAGTGGGAATTGGTGAGTTTGTTTGTTTCTGGAGCTAGCATGCTAGCACTAGCCTCCAGGTTATTATATTGGGCTCTGTCTAAATCAGTGCTATTATATTGCTACATTTATTTGAATGTGCTTATAGAAAAAAAAATCAAACATCAATAGTTTTCTATACTAAATGTCATTGATGGTACTGTTCTACTATTTCCAAACACCTGCATTTGTACTGATCTGGATAATGAAAAA